TACAGGACAGTGATAATAAACAAGGTTGCTGGTTTAGGTGTTTACTATACTAAACCTTTTATTATTTTAGAGTATATGCTTTTTACTTATAAAAAAAAGTGTACTGTGAAACAGGATGCCAACTTACTCTGGCAGCAGCCTCACACATCTCATGTTTACTGCTTCTTTTTATCAAGAGGCACTGACTGTATGAAGCTAAAACACCTAACCCCACAACTTAAAGGAAAAGGGTATACATTTGATTCACACTGCAGGGGATTCAGTCCATAGTCAGCTGGCTCTAAGGCAGAAATACGGCAAGGATATTCAGTTCATGGTGGCAGAACAGGAAATCCTGTCTGAAAGGATCTGGCTGGCCATATACAGTACTCAAGATCACACCTCCATTATCCATCTAGACACACCCAGGTGCATGCTTTACCAGTCTACTGGGCATTTGTTAATCCAATGGAACTGACCAATCAGGATTAACAGTCACAACTGACATACACCATCTAGGCTTGTATAAGGAAACTCTGATGCTTGCATGATTAAATTGCCTAACAACACATCTCTGAGTATGCATTCCCACCATTAATCACCACATGACTGCACGGTGGTGAACTAGACATGTGATCTACCCTTTGCAGCTTGTAGACAGGACATCCTGGAAGGCTTAAAATCAAGTTTTCTCAAGTAATCTCCTATAACCAAAAGAGAGTTGGAATGTTATCTTTCTCATAAGCATCAAAATCAATTTTGAAAGTAACTTAATATACCAACTGTACAGTCCCCAAATCGCCACTTTGCAGGTAAAAATAGAGAAGAGATGAGGGAAAAATTCATTTTCAACAACTATTCATCAAGTGTTAACGTCACTGCTATTGTAAGCTGAGAATTTATAACCAATTAATATGAGACAAGGTAAGAGGCAAAACACACTTTTACAGTGGCCTCTAAGCAGATCTGTGATGCTGTTGTGCTGGCAATTGTAACAGCTTACAAAATCTAGGAAACCTTGCATATATGCAATCTCAGTCCCTCTCTAATGTATTTTAGAAAGTAGTTAATTAAGGAATGAAAGACCCTATGTTGGGGGAGAAGGGAAGCCAGTCAGTACTATATAGCTTAAGACAAAAAATAAAATAAAACCCAGAAGGCTCATCCAATCCTCATAGGAAGATTTCCCATCAGATTCCATAGCTCATTCCAGGTTCAAAGAACATAAATGAACTCTGAAGAACTGGCCAAACAGATCATATGATTCACTGAGCTTGTTTAACGCCTGCATTCAAGCATAAGCAAGCCTGTTTCCAAACTAGAAGCGTCAAAGCAAAGCTGAAATCCCACAGAGCTGTGACAGGGACTCTGTGGGTGGCAGAACCAGGGCGAGGCGGCCAATGGGCTCTAGTAACTGCAGCCATTGCTTAGATTACCTCATTTCATTTGATCTCAGGAAACCAAGCCAGTGACTAAGTCCCTAACAATGAGCACAAGGGCTACTACCGGAAAAAGGAAAGCCCCCAGGAAGAGGCAGAATCAAGTGAGCAACCCCAGGCAAGACTCCTGCAGTCAGGGGCACACAGGAAGAGAGAAAGCAGGAAGTTTAAATTGTAACTGTAATGTATGTGTAAATTTATACATAAAGTCCTGGGCAAAAGAACCATACTTTCATGTACCCTAAACAATCATACTCAAACCTGCTTTCAAGGAAAAAGAAACTGATTGAAACTTGAGATTATGTGGCTTCAGGCTTGATCAGAAGGAAACAGCTCCTTTAGTCAAAAACAAAGGCATTGCAGTGATAAATGTAAAGCACTTAAAAATAAAATAATCTTAGAGATAACTGAAGCATCTTCCTTATTAATTACATTTAGATATCCAATGCATTTTACTTAGCAAAGCCAAAAAGACACCTGATTTCTTGCCATCCTTTCACTCTTTGCTAGCGACTATATATATATCAGCTCACTTTAAATCTCTCAACCACTGTCAATCTCCATCCGGTCTCTATCCTCAAGTGAAGAGGTTAAGAGATCATACATTACGGAATCTTGTAAAGGTAACAATCACTAACATTTAGTGGTCTCTACTATCTGCCACATGGTCTGTCACAGATGAAGAAATTGAGGCTCAGAAAGATACAATAACTTTTCCAAAACAACACAACTATCACTGATTTAAACTCAACCTGTCTGCCCCATGTAACTGCAATCAGTAACATATGTTTTCGCATATTACAAAATTAAGTTCCCCTCCCCTATCTGTGTACGTGTGTTTCTGGATTTTGTTGTTGTTTTGTTTTGGAGACAGGGTCTCATTATATAGTTCAGGCTGGTCTAGAACTCACTATGGAGTCCAGGTTGGCCTTAAACTCACACGGATTCTTCAGCTCCAGCTTCCAGAGTACCAGGCACGTACCACCAGGTCCAGCCTCCCAATGTTAATTTTAAAACTGTAACAAAACCACCTATAGTAGGAATGGGTCTGACGTTGATTTGCTGATATTGGTACTATCTTTGGCTTTTTAAATGCTACCTCCTTCTCCTACATGACACCTCCAAAGCACCTTGACTAAAAGGGCACAAGCAATTATTTGGGTACACTTCACAGGACAAAGTTCCTCTATCAGAGGCTGACAAGAGACCAAAGATCAAATTAACCATAGCTGTTTCATGCTGAATGTGCCATGTGATTAATGACAGCCAAAGGGAAAGCAAGAAAGCAGTTTTCAAACTTCAGATAAATCTGAAAAAGTATCATCTTCCCTTAATAAACACTGGCAACAAAAGAAAAAGCAGGGTGGCACACTCCTATAATCCCAGCATTCAGATCACTGCAAGTTGGAGACCAGCCTGGGCTACAAAGTGAGCCCTAGCCTAGCCTAAACTGCATAATGAGACCTTAACTCAAAGACAAAATAGGGCCAGGAATATAATCAGTGGCATAAGCACCCGCCTGGCAAGCACAAGGTCTTGAGTTCGATCACCGGTACCAAAAAAAAAAAAGACTAAATAAATAAAATATAACTAGAGACAGATCTGAAACATACAGAAGGAATATTGTTTCTTTAACCATCTATATACAGACTCAGCCAATAAAACTTGTTGGTTAATATTCTTAAAGTTCCACTGAAATTAAAATTCATTAAAATCAACAGCTTTAACTTTCCTAGGATGCTGTTGATTGTAAAATACTATGTACTGCTAAAGTTCATTTTGGTACTGGTATTTTTCGTCCTATTAATACATTTATCTATATTCTTTTCTTTTTTTTTTTTTTCTTTTTGAGACAGGGTCTCACCATGTACTTTGGGTATGACTTGAACTCACTATGTACCCCAGACTGGCCTCAAACTTGTGGCAATTCTTCTGCCTCGGCCTCCTGAGTGCTGGGATTACAGGTTTGCAACATTCCTCCCCGCCAGCTTGTTTTCTAGTGTCATAAATCGGTTTTTTTCACTGTTTGAGAACTACCTTATATACATGCTGGAAAAATATAAAAAGAGCTGAGAAAAATAAAAAGAGCTGGGCATGGTGGTGTGTAATCTCAGCTACTGGTAAGGCTGAGGCTGGAGGATTGAAAGTTTGAGGCCAACCTGGAAAATTCCACATGACTCTGTCTCAAAATTTTAAAAGGACTGGGGAATAAACCTATGGGTAAAGTATTTGCCTAGCATGCATGATGTCCTGGGTTCAATTCTCAGTACAAAATAAGGGGGAAAAAATCAAAAAAGATTCGCCTAAGCAAGCATTGTGGGATGTTTTCAGGGAAAGCTTGTTTGCGTTGCAAAATAGAGATTAAGAAGAGTTCATAAACTATCACTATGCCAGAAATAACTCTTCTCATCTTTTTAAAAATCCTTTGATAAAAAAATCATAGAAGGAGAAATTAAAACAAGGCAAACAAGGAGTCAGATTATAAGAGATAAAGCAACAATTTTCTACAGGGCACCGACAAGGTTTTAAGTACACAGTCATCCTAAATTCCCTTCTAACTGCAATTTTTCAACAAGATGGTAAGCTCATAAGTAAACAATATAAATTCTCTTTGCTTGGTAGCGTTTTTAGTAGTTTGTCCTACCATACTTCTCTTTCAATACCTCATCTATTTCTGAAATAACCTAATTTCCTCTGAATCCTAAGGGAAGTTCGAGAAAGCCCTGAATTTATTGAAATGCAAAGAAAAGCAAGAACTTGTGGTCTGCTTTTCACCAGGTTAGAAAAAGTCACACTATTGACTACCTACCCCCTACTGATGCTGCCTTTCTTATTCGGAACTAAAGGAGTAATGGGTATTTTGCTGTTTCACTGCTGTCGGCCTGAAACACATTGTGAAGTATTTCAAAATAGCAAAATATGTAATGTCCCTTTGGTACAGCAGTATAAGTGAAAAATAATCTGAAATTCAGCCAACCACAAGAAAAAGAGGAACATCTACCCAGCTAAATATACACAGAACTCATAATAATGCTGTCTCAAGATTTCCACCTAACAAATGGTCAAAAGCCATGCATGCACAATGCTCATGAAGAGGAAGAGCCACTCAGAAGTACAGAGAAACCTTAAATCCTCTGTTAATCAAAAGAATGAAAATCAAACGATAAGGCACCTTTCCTTGTTGAAGGAATTTTCTATTTTAATGGTCATATTCAGCTGAGCTAAGAAGGGTACAAAGAAACTGATTAAAAGTATAGTTATGAGCCGGGCGTGGTGGTACATGCTTGTAATCCCAACACTTGGGAGGCTGAAGCAGGAGGATCTGTGAGTTCGAATTCGAGAACAGCCTGAGACCAGGGTTACAAAGTGAGCTCAAGGCCAGCCTGAACTGCTTAGTGAGACCCTGTCTCAAAAAAGACAAGTAAATAAAATAAAAATAAAAATATAGTTATAAGCTGGCAAAATATAAAAATACAATTAAAAATGTCACACCTTCATGTGTGGTACAATTCCATTTTTGTACATCCAACCTAAAAAAGCTAAGACAAAATGAAAAAGTTTTACACTCAAAATGCTGAGGACAGCTTTACACAGTGACAGTATCACAGCCAATGAGGTTTATCTGAGGCATGATTATTGCTAATGGAAAACATTCATGACAGTGTTACAGTAGAAAAATTAAAAACACCAAATTTTCCAATGTTTGGAATATAATTCCTATTTATGAAATACAATACAGACTTCAAAATGAAGATCGAAATCATGCAGCAACAACCCATAATTCTAGCTTTAAATAGCAGTATTCAAATTTTGTCAGTACAGAATTCATTAAAAAATCAGAAATAAACAGGACATAGTGAAGCACACCTAAGTTTGAGGACCGCCTGGTCAACTTTATGAAATCCTATCTGAGTCAAAAATTAAAAGGGCTAGAATGTAGCGCAGGGCTACAGCAATTGTCTTGCATTCATGAGGCCTTGGTTCAATTCCCCATACTAGAAAAAAAGAAAGAAAAAATTACCAAATAGTATTCAGCAATACCATTTCTGGGTATGCAACCAGAAGAATTGTAAGCAAGGTCTCTAAAGCATACCTGTCCCCATGTTCACAGCAGCATTACTCACAAAGGCCAAAAAGTGGACACAGTCCACATGTCAATAGAAGGATGAATGGAGAAAGGATCACATATACATTTAATGAAGTTTACTCAGTCTTGAAAAGATGGGAAATTCTGACCACGCTACATCGTGAAAGGTCCTTGATCCTTATTATGCTAAGTGCAACAAGCCGGTCACAAAAAGACAAATCCAGAACTGTACGATTTCACTTGTATAAGTAGCAAACTCAAATGATCTACATAGATTTTTAAGCTCCATGCGAGTAGGTTTCAACCTGTTTTGTTCACTATCAAATCCCTAGCATTTCACCTTGCACATTGTCAATATTCAGTAAACACTTGGAAAATTAATTCAGAAATGCACATTCACCCACCTTATACACACACACACACACACACACGCACACACGCACACACGCACACGCGCGCGCGCGCACACACACTCAAATTCCACATTCATTCAATTTTCTTTCTTTCCTTCCTTTTTCTCTGTCTGTATTTCTTTTCATACTGAGGATTAAACCCAGGGCCTTCATATTAGACTACACATTACCCAGAATTTTTTCTTTTGAAACAAAGCCTCTCTAAGTCACTAAATTGCCCAGCCTAGGTTCAAACTTGGAATCCTTGTGTCTCAGCCTCCCTGAGTGCTAAGCTTAGAGGTGTGCACCACCATGCCTGGCTAACCGTTTTTTTTTTTTGTTTTGTTTTGTTTTTTGCACAGGGAACTGAACTCATCACCTTATACTTGCCAGGCAGGCACTGTGCCACTGAGCTGTATACCCAGCCCCTTTCATTATTTTCAAGACAATGCTGATGATTACATTAAGAGGCTATTAAATTCAATATCTAAAAAATTAATTCTGGTCTCCAATTCCCAAATTTATTCTTTTCCTGTTCTAATTATCTCACTTTGTTTAGCATCTGGAAAAAGAAATGAGTTCTGCAATATATAATTAGTAAATTATTCTTAGCTGACTGACTCATGTAGCAGCAGTTAGCAATTACAGTCCATAAAATGTGTATTAAGCTTGCTGTTTTAATACTCTGAAATAATGGACCTAATTCTCTCTGTGCACCAAAGTAAAGTTACATTTAGAATGTCATTAGGACAGTTTTATCCCATTAGCTCACACGTGAAAAACAGAAGTTCTCCACACAAAAGTTTCACAACCTCAAAATGCTGGTATGCATGACCTAAGATGGGCCAAGAAGAAACTATTCCCAACAGTGGAAACAAGTTCCCCTTCACAAAGAACAATCACGCCACCACACTGCTTGGAACCCCCAAGCCACCCACCCTGAAGGACATCAGAACTCTGGCTAGGGTTAGCAGCTTTGCTTCGGCCCAAAACACTATTCAACAGAAATATAATGCAATTACAAGTATAATTTTAAAATTCCCAACAGAATGTTAAAAAATACACGTAATGGTTGAGGCGTGGCTCTGTGGTACTGTGCCTGCCTACCATGTGTAAGGCCCTGGGTTTGATTCCCAACATCGCAAAATCATTTATTTACGCTGCAGGTAAAATCAATTCTATTTAAACCAATTAACCTCAAATATTACTTTAACATGTAATCAGTATTTTTACATCATTGTAATATATCTTACATTCTTTGGTAGTTAGGTAGGTCCTCAAAATCTAGTATTTTATATTTATAACTAAACTCACACGAGCCATATTTCAAGGGTTCAGTAACTACAAGTGACCAGTGACTAGTTTATTAGGCAGCACAGCTTTAGAATAGCAGGTGTAACCCCAGCTGCTCAGGAAGTCGAGGCGTGCAGATCAGAAGTTCCAGGCCAGCCTTGGTAATTTAGCAAGATCCTATGTTTAAATTAAATTACATTAAACTGGGCATGGTGGTACGTCTGTAAATCCAGCACTGCGGAGGCTGATGGAAGAGGACTGTGAGTTTCAGTCCAGCTCAATTTAGCAATAGCTCATCTTAAAAATAAAATAACGGCCAAAGATTTAGCTCAGCAGCATAAATGCCTGCCTGACAGGCACAAGGTCATGAGTTCGATCCCGGTACCAAAATAAATAAATAAACAAAATAAAACAAGGCTTGAGATGTGGATGGTAGTAAAGTGCTTGCCTAGCTGTAGATTTAAACCACAAAAAGAAAAAGAAAAACATAGAAAAGAAAGCTGGTTAATTTTGTCTGATATTTTGGTTAACTCTGGCTAGTTACTAACTCTGTTTAACATACTTTCTACCCTTGAAAATGATTATCTTTCTGCTGGAAGACAGCCATTTAGTTTGATTTTTTTTTTTTTAATTGATACTGGGGATTGAACTCATGACCGCCTGCTTGCAAGGCAGGGGCTTATGCCGCTGAACTAAATCCCCAGCCTGAGACAGCCATTTAGTAAATCACTACCATAAATGTGCTACACTTTAGCAAAGGTCAATAAGGAAATATCCAACATCATTTCACAAGAATATGCTTACATATATACAACATTTCCATTTAAACACATATATAATTTTAGCACACTTTACACAATAGATGTATGTTCTTGAAAACCTGTAAGTTCAGAATATCTTCAATACATTAAATGAACAAGTATTTTAAAGAAAAATCAAAAACATACTTTGGTCTATTTAGTAAGCTTTTTAAAAGAATATTACTAAATGAGACTAGGGACTTCACTGTGTTCCCCATTCTATTCCCAGAGACTAACACCATGTCTGGCACATAGTAAGCACTCACTGTCTTGTTTAAATGAATGTAGAAGTTTGTTAAAACAAAGGTAACATAAAGAGAGAGAATGTCACCAACAAAATATCACCAATACCGTCCAAGCCCAACAACTACCACCTGTAGCAATTCACATACAACACGAAACTAATTCATCCAAAATGAGCAGGTTTTCATTCACTCAGACCTGGCCTTTATTTTACATGCTAATTTCTGCCTTCATTCAATAAACTACAGTAATAAACACAATTTTTGCTATACAGGGAAAGAGGAATTTAAGAGGGGAGGCTGCTGATTCTTAGATGAGTGGTTCAGGAAGACTTCTCCAAGGTGACATTTTTAAGGTAACAAGGTTGTTACCTTAAAAATGTCACCTTGGAGAATGTCACATGGAGGAGAATAAAAGGAAGCAACTACTCCTAGCCAAGATTCTGGCATGGGGAATAAGTGAGATTCTGAAATGAACTGTGAGAAAAACTAACACTATTATTTAAAGGTTATTACCAGCTGGGCATGGAGGCTCATGCCTGTAATCATAGCTCTGGGGAGGCTGAGACAAGACAGAGGATTGTTGTGAGTTTGAGACCAGCCCGAATGGCACAGCAAGGCCCTGTCTCAAAAAGAGAATCAAAAAAGAAAAAGAGAGAGAGAGAGAGAGAGAAACAGAGAGAGAGAGAGAGAGAGAGAGAGAGAGAGAAAGACAGGCAGGCAGGCAGGCAGGCAGACAAGCTATTACAAGCCAGTAGCCTACAAATCTTGTCCCAGGTAGCGGAGAGGTGGAGAGCCCAAGGCCACTCTGGGCAACACAGTGAGACCCTGTCTTAAAACTAAATAAGTAAATTAAGGTTATTATACCAAAGAATGAACAAGAGGCTGAGTCTTGGGATATAAGGAATGCTTCCTTACCCATAAGAATAAAAACTTTCCACTGGGCAATGTCTACAACTCTTCAGTAGCCACACCTGAGAAGCTCCTCGGCAGGCATCTAGGTGGGCATCTACCATACTCTGCTGTCTTTCACAATCCTTCCTGAAGAGAGACTCTTATCAATAGCTAATGGCATTCAGCCAAAATATGAATCAAAAGTAAGCTTCAGTAGGGCCTTCATCAAAAGGTTGCTACTTGTGGTAAAGAGATAGGGAAACAGGGCCTAATGCTCTCTCTGGCTGGGGATTTGACCACATGGGAAGCACTGGGTCAGCCTCACTTTTTCTCCCCCAGGAAAAAGAAAGCTCAGCCAGACATAGTGGTGCATGCCTGTAATTCCAGCACTTGGGAGGCTGAAGCAGGATTGTTGCAAGTTTGAGGCCAACCTAGCCTACGAAGTGAGTTTAAGAACAGCCTGAACTGCATAGAAAGACACACACACACACACACACACACACACACACACACACACACAAACACACACGCATACACACATGCGCACGCGTGCACACAAAGAAAGCTCAAAATACAACAGGCACTAACTGCCAAAGGAAGTCTAAGAAGAATAACCACATTATGGGATATTTTTAGCCTTTCTTTTCATAAATGTTTTGTTACTGCTTTCCAAATAATTCCAAATGTTGCTGAGGATATAGTTCAGTGATGTAAGTGCCTGCCTTGCGAGCATAAGGTCCTGAGTTCAATTCCCAGCATACACACACATAAAAATAATAATTATTCCAAATCTTACAAGTTAGCCAGAAGAAGAAATGCAGTAAATAAGTACTACTCAGGAGGCTATGCATGAAATATGCTTTTATGAGTCCTCCTCACACAAACATAAAATTCTCACTGATTAAGACTACGTGAAGGACTGGGGATAGCTCAGCAGCATAGCCCCTGCCTAGCAAATGCAACATCCTGAGTTCAATTCCTATTAACAAACAAACAAAAAGCTGTGAAAATGGACTCTATATCAAGACACATGGGCTCTGCCTCAGGCAGAATGGCTGGTGAGGAACTTACAGCCATATCCAGTAGCTCAGGGACAAAGAGCCAGGATTGCCCAAACCCCTTCAATGTCATGAACTGCTATGCTAACCCTGTGGACCCTATGAGAAGGCCACTCATTACTGTTGCCTCTAGTAATAACCAAATGAAAAGCCACAAAATTACCAACAAGAAAAAAACCCAAAGAGCAGAGTTGAGGCTTGCTATGTGGCATATTACAGTTACACCTTACTTAAAAATTCTTTTTTTTTTTTAGCTTACAGTACTGGGCATTGGAGCCAGGACTTTTGCACTGAGCTCAATCTCTAGTCTTTTATTTTTAAATTTTGAAACAGGGTCTCCCTAAGTCAGTAAGTTGCCAAGGCTAGGCTTGAACTTGTGATCCTCCTGCATTAGCCTCCTAGAGTGCTAGAATTAAAAGGGTACACCACCAAGCCCATTATAAATATTTCTATTTTATTTTATTTTATTTTTTTTTTTTTATTTTTTTAATCGGTACCAGGGGTCGAACTCACAACTGCCTGCTTGCAAAGCAGGCACTTATGCTGCTGAGCTAAATCCCCAGCACATGTACATGTTGTACTTCTTCAGTACAACTTTTTTTTTAAAGTGTGGGTGTTTCAGAAGACAATTTCAAGTTTCCTGAGATGCTCAACTAATCTACTTCTAAAGCAAAAATAGTGTCTCATTCCCTTATTCCTGTTAACTATCAAAAGTGCAGAAGAAAGGTGATGGCTGTAGCCAGCACATGAACAGCTTTAGCTTTTCTTCTATCTTTGGCAGTCTGAACGTGTCCTGTATGTACCGGTAGTTTCGTTTTGTTGGGAGATCAGAAAAAGATAAATTACAAATTCCAGGCTGGTTATAGTGATACACGCAAGGTGCTGAGGCAAGAGGATAGTTTCAAATTCGGCTCCATGCCGAGTTTAAGGTCAGCCAGAACTTCGTAAGGAGACCCTGTCTAAAACAGACAACAAAAAATTTCAAAACTATTGATACTGCCGGTCTGCTTAAAACTACAACTAAATGGATCCTTTGAAATAAAGTGAATCTACAAACATAAATGCACTGACAATATGCAAGAGTAAAAATTTTTAAGAAACCCAATTTACAGACATCCTTATTTGCAAAGGGAAAATGAAATTTTAAGTTTTTATGCTGAGAGTCAAAAGGAAAGTGTGATTTGAGTCAGAAAAGCAAAGTCCAGATCTTCCCAATAAGTGTGAATCATTAGAAATTATTTAACAATAGCTCATCTTTCATTGTGTTTCAGAAGGTTCTTGAGACAATAGTGAGAGGGTACCTTTTGAAAATGGTAATGATACAATTACTATCAAGCCAGGAGGTCGTTCATTCATTTAACTAGTAATTATGGAGCAACTATTATGTCAGGTCACTATCTCTTCTTCCTTTTTTCTAAAAACAAAAGGGTTGAGGAGTGGTGACACACACCCACAATCCCAGCAATGGGAACCTGGGGTGGGGAGGGGGTGGGTCAGGCTGGTGGATAGCCTTGAGTTCCAGGTCAGCCTGGGCTTCATAGTTAGTTCAAAGCCTGCCTGAACTACACAGTCAGTAAGACCCTGTCTCAAAAAAATAAAAACTCACTCACACACCCCCAGACAGAGAGAAAGAGAAAGAACTAGAGGGCTGACAATGTAGCTGAGTACTAGGTCACTTGCCAGTATGAGCAAGGCCTTGGGTTGGTTGACTCCTAGCACAAGAGAAGGAGAGGGGTACAAGACATAAATAATAAAGAAAATAATAACACTTTCTTTATGTCTTTAAGGTTTTTTTATTACTTATGTTCCCTTGCCTGGCAAGAGACGAAAGAAATTTCTAATCCCTTCACCCCATTCTTCCTCTTCATCCTGAATTCACCACAAACAACTTGCTTTCTCAGGGTATTTTCAGGAGTTCTGTAAACCTCATTTTCCTAGCTTTTCTACCAAGTGGTATAGCATCAAAAAGAAAGAAAAAGGAAAAAACACTATTATCAATAACTGATCCTGGAGCAACATCTTTCCATCTTTCTAGACAAAAGATCTTTCACTGCTAATCTTATTTTTATAATCATAAGCATAATCAAATGAAAACTTATCTGACCTTACATAAATGTTCCACAAAAATGTTTTCTGTATAAATTTTACTTCCTTATTCACAAATCTTGTCAGACTTAAAAGAATTCAGTCACTTCTTTAAATAAACCAAAATGCCCATTAAAATTCAGAGTTTAGAACTTTTTCTCCCTCCCAAGTGATTCCTGTAACTTGGACCTCGCATATATTAGGCTAGAATGGGAATTATACAGGTAAAAGGGCTTCAAGGCATACATATTGAGCTTTTCCAGTCAAAACTACAACTTACTGTCCTGACTTTCAGCACAATCCTTCAAAAGACATACTGTATTAATGTTTTGCTAATTCTTATACATATACATACACATGTATATTACATGAGTACTACAAATAAACATGCCAGAGGATAAACTACTGCATGTAAATGACATAAAACCCCTATATGTACACAAACCTTAAAAAAAATGTTTACTGGGGCTGGGGATTTAGCTCAGCGGCATAAGCACCTGCCTTGCAAGCAGGCGGAGGTGAGTTCAATCCCAGGTACCGATCAAAAAAAAAAAAATGTTTACTTTAAAAGCACTAGAGGGTCCTCACCCAATTCCAACCTGAATATTCCTTCTTGTAAAGGAGATTGTCAAGCCTGGAGAATCTAAAAACTGGCAAGTTTCCTGGAGAATAAGGCCAGCTTCTGGACTAGGTTTCAAACTAGCACAAGCTTGTTTCCACGTGTCAAATGACAACAGCAAAGTAAGTGTTAGGAGAAAATATAAAGTAGAGAAGGAAAAGAAAGGAGAGACCAAGAGACAGAAAAGCAAAGTAAGAAAACAAAAGGACATGCCACTTTTGCATAACAGAAGAGGGATTCTATTTTCCAAATTCGTGCCATTTAGCACGCTCTCGACTAAGAATAAGAGATCATCCTTTAGGTTAAGAAACACACCGCTCCACACTTCGGGATAAGGGCCCTTGACTTCACTCTTGCCCTTCACCATCCTCTCTTCCCCTTCTGGTTGGGAATTCAAGAGGCCGAAAAGATTACAACTTTGGAATCTTAGAAAGCAACTTGACCTCAGAAAGTGGTTCAATAAAACTTGAAAGTTCTGGCAAAGACAGCCTAAACAGATTCCCTCCCCGCTACCAGAAAAACACCACACTGTTCGATTCCTAGACTACTTTACTTGCTTCAAATCTCCAGGGCTGTGTGATGGAAAAGTCTGGTGCGTGCCTGTTGTTTTTTTAAGAGCAGCACGTCCTTTGCACGATAGCTTTTTCTAATGTGAGCTTGGCCTGCTGGCCTGGCCCCCTGGTGCGGCTCCCGGCGCCTGGAGGCCGCAGGTTCAAGGGCCAGCCCTGAGTCCAACCCAACTGCCCAGTCAGGAAGGCCTCCGCCGGAAAAAAAAAAAAAAAAAGCCGGTCACGACCGTGCAGAACTGGCACGAGTTCCCTTTCCATCTTCTCCCAACTTACGCTTCCCACGACATGCTTCCTCCAAAAAAGGAAGCAACCGGCCCAAAGTTCAGCTCTCGCTAGCTAGTTTCTACCTAGCCAGAGCTCGTTTGCAAAACATGCGGGCACCCACACCTCGACTTTGCAGGGAACGAACTCAGAGCCGGGATTTGGAGAACTCCTACTGCCCTCCCGCCCGCGGGGCCCGGGCCCCCTCCCCCACCGGCGCGCCCTGGAGGAACCAGGTTGGGTTGTCACTGCGGCCACCACCGGTTCGGCCCCCCGAGCCACTCGGAAGCCACAAGCCACCCAGCCGACGATCACAGAGGGTAGGCGCGCGACCCGACGCTGGGCCCAGCAGGCACGCGGAGGCCGACGCCTGGGTTCGCAGCTGCCCGCCCGCGGCCCGTGCCCGGGGCGGCGACGCAGGGGCCCTCCGGCGCGGAAGGCAGCAGTCAATCGGCCTCCCCGCCCTTCCTCCCGCCGCCTTTGCCCACAGGCACGGGCTCCGGGCACGGTCGGGGGACTCAGAGGACAGAAACAACTTTCCGGTGCCCTCCTTCCCGGCGAGCATCCCCGCGCGCCCGCCAGAGACACGTGGAGTCCGGCCCGGGCGCCACTCACTTGCTGGCCGGCGCGGGACTTGCCCTGGGGCGCCCTCCTGAAGAAGGAGGTCCTGGCGGTGAAGAAGAAGTCCTCGGCGTCTTCCTCCAGGCTGCTGTAACCGCTGCTCATACTGCTGGTCCCGGCGCGCAGGCGGCCAGGCAGGGGGCGCGGCGCCCGCCCGCCCGTCCGCCCCGCGAGGTCCCCGGCGCGCGCCCCGAGCCCCGGCGGACAGTCCGGCGACAGCTGCAGCCGCCGCTCAACCGGCCGTCTGGGCCACTCCCGCCGCCCGCCCCGCCGGGCCCCGGGCGGCCCGGCCCCCGGAGCGCCCCGCCCCGCTGACCGGCCCCGCCCCCGCCGCTCGCCCCGCCCCCGCCCGGGGGCCAGCTGCTCTCCGCAGCCGCAGGTGGCCCGGCCGGCCCGCACCTCGCGGGCGCGCCGCCGTGGGGAGCGGTTCCGCCCTACGGACAGGCTGGCTCGCGGGCGGTGTCCGGCGGAGCTGAGTTTGGGGTCGCTCTCCCCACCTCCCGGAAATGGCAAATTCCTCTGAGAGCCGCCGGCTCGCCCCCGCTGCTCTAGCCGGAGTCCTGAAGGGGGCGGGGCCGGGGGCACAGCGGGGACCTTTCTCCGCCCCGCGCGTCCGCTCCGGGTGCTGCGGATCCCCAGCCCAGCCCGGCGCGCCCCGCGGCTGCCACGCCCGCCACGCCACTTTCTGGAAGCTGAAAGTTCGCCGATCAGAGGGGAGATAGCTACGGGGTGGAGTTTATTTGAATGAAAACATCCTTTCTGCCTGTTCGTTGGAGCCTGGGGTTTATCTCCTCCTTAGCGAACGCCCCTTCCAGAAGGACAAGGGCCAAAGCCGTTCTGACTTTAGGAGACCTTTGAGACAGCACAAAGTAGTTACTGAGAGGACCATCGACTACTTCTAATTATATATGCTTTGTAAATGACCCCTTCCACACCTTTACACTGTGGCCTCTTGCAAAGCAGGGTAATAGTGAAGGTAGGCGAATAGGAATTCTGTACACCAGCGAACAAAAGAAGTACATTTTTCTTAAAATCCTTCCAGTGAGCTAATCCTCTTTTAAAATGAGAATTTCCCCTTCAAATCACCTGAGGAAACCAGTCTTTACACCTTGGTGTTCGCAGATTGATTTAAAACCTACTACACTCTCTTAGGATCTTGTTTTGACATTATGCACATGCAGGTTTCAGCAGATGTTTCATTAATATGTAAAGAAATAAGTTAAAGGACAGGAAGTTTTCACCCTTAAACTTCTCTCGTGTTCGTCCCTTCTCGCACAACTCCGTAAGGTAATTAGTGCTATTTTATGGCAGGTTTGCATCTAGACAGAGCTGAGGCTGAGAGGAAGGTGAACTGTACGTAGGCTACCACACTGGAACCTCTCTGCCTTGCTCTCTGCAGCTGATAAGATCTTCACTGGTAGCTTTTCCGTGTAGCTCTTCTGGGTTCTCTAGCTGTTGTGTGTTCCCCTAAACCAGAGATGATAGGAAGAAGAAATTTTACTCTCAGGCTAAAAGGAGGCTTGCAAACCTGCCTGCCTTCCTGCAGGCCTACAGGAACCCCTTGCACAATACTGTGTTACTCCAGGTAACTCACAGCTCCAAAATAGCAGCCCTTTTTATAAGGCCTGCATTAAAGGCTTTTTCCAGTCACACAGCTGCTGAATGATTATAAAACAAAAATTCTGACTCTCTCTGTGTGTGCCAGGCAAATAACCTAATGAAAGGGAAGAGAACGATTCATTTATGAAATAATTTTCTTACTTCACTTCTATTATTTCATTATTCTAATGTTACCATACTACACTAATACAATCTTTATAAAGTACTCTAACTTAAGAGTAATATATAGATTAAAGAATATAAGTGTGTTTTATTGTAGATAATAAAAGATAGAAAAGAGAAATAATCTCACCCTTAAAGTTATTTAAAATCTCTGAGTACTTTCAAGAAAAAATATTAAAAGGAAACATTTAAACAATCTACGATCCAACACACCATAAAAAATTGTGTTTTGTTTGTTTTTGTTTTGAGACAGAGTCTTGATGTGTAGCCCAAACTGTCTCTTGCGTGCATCTCCAGTGTGCTGAGATTACAGATGTGTGTCACCATGACCAACTCAAAATGATTTTTTTCAGCCAAGCATGGTGGTCCGCACCTGTAATCCCAGCACTCAGCAGGCTGAAGCAGAAGGATTGCTGTGAGTGGCCAGTGGAAGAAGAAATTGCTTTCATGTTATTTTTTAAACTCCAAAAGAACTGAACTTATAAAAAATGGTGGTACTGGGGATTGACCTGAAGGCCTTTACATAGACCTGCATCATCAGCCCGATTTTATTTTTTATTTTATTTTATTTATTTATTGGTACCAGGTATTGAACTCATGACCTTGCACTTGCCAAGCGGACACTTGCACCACTGATCTACACCTCCCACTCTTATTTTTTATTTTGAGGCAGGATCTCAGTCACAAAATTGCCCAAGCTGGTTTTGAACTTGTGGTTTTCTGACCTCAGCATCCCAGAGTGCTAAGACCACAAGCATGCATCCCATGGCTGGTTAAATTTTTTATGTTTATCAACATATCAGAATAATTTTATAACAGAAACCAGAGTCTGAGGCTGTAGCTCAATAGTAAAACATCTGAAGTTTACACAGATCCTAAATTCAGTCCTGAGAAGGAGAGAGGAGTGTATGAGATGATTAGAATATAAAGAAGCAGTTTTTATGCAACAAAAAAAGAAAGAAAGAAAGAAGAAGAAAAAACTGGCATTCTAGGGTCTGAGCGTTGTGCCATAGACCTGTGGTCTCTGCAATTAGGAGGCTGCAGCAGGGGGACTGCAGCAAGTTCCAGACCAGCCTGGGCTACTGGCTACATGGTGAGTTGGCATCTAACAACACAGTGAGACTCTGGCTGGAAAAAAAGAATTGGAATGTTTTCCAAAAGCAGCATAATAATCATAGTCAACATTTTTCTTGTAGTACTTTTAATAAAAATATTAAGACTTTTAAATTTTTGGCTCATGAAATTAGTAATTCTAAAAATTCAAATTGTCATTCTAAGCAGCTAGATAGTTTTAACATTTAGAATTCAGGGAAAGGGTAGAATAAATAAAATATAAGCAGTCAAGTTCAGTTTTTAAAGGACTTATTGTCAAACAACTAAATTTGTAAATGGACTCTGTCACTATAAATTTTTCAGGATACTAGAGCCTATTGATTTATATTTCTAGCTTAGGAAACTTTTACTCCTATGTTGAATGATTGGAAACTTCAAGAGACTAGAGAGACTATGGGAGAATCAGGCAAATTTTATTTTAGGTGTACACTGACTCAGCAGACTATTGTCCAGAGAGTTGAGCCCTAGGCTGGTATGTTAGCACAATCCTGTAATCCCAGCATTCAGGAGGCATAGGCAGCAGGATTGCTGCCGAGTTCAGGGCCAGCCTGAGCTACAAGGTGAGTTCAAGGCCAGTTTGAATTGCATACTGAAACCATGTCTCAAAAAGACAAAAAAAAAACAAAAACCCAAACAAACTAAAAAACAGAGCTGAGCCCTCAATAAAGGAAGAACTCCAGTTTATATATGTTGACAGGGGGTTGGCCTAGTGGCATGTAATTTGAGGGTGGCAAGCAGAACAAACGCAGTTTGTCAAACTGTGCCCAGTGGTCTTGGTCTGGTAAAAACAGGATGAAGAGGATAGGAGGTTATAAAACTTTATTTACAAGGACAAAGTTACTGTTTTCATTCATAGTAGAACAAAGAACAACAGCCATAAGGAAGGGGAAGACTGGAGAAATTTGACTTTTTAAGTCCTGTTTCAAAATGGGGAATGTATTTAAAATTTAATAAATGTACTCAAATATTATAAACACACATGCATACTTTATTGCTTTGTGTTTTACACTGAATCATTTTCTTTATAATACTATAAAAGAGAGGCTTTATTAAAAGGGTTTTTTTTTTTTTTGTACCAGGAACTGAACTCAGGACCTTGTGATTGCCAGGCAGGCTAAAAGGGTTTTTTTGTTTTTGTTTTGTCTTTTTCGTTTTAATCAGTACCAGGGATCGAACTCATGACTGCCTGCTTGCAAGACAGGCACTTATGTCGCTGAGCTAAATCCCCAGCCACCCCCCCTTTTTTTTTGTCTTGGCTAAAAGGGTTTTTAATGGCATTGCTGAGTGAGTGCTCCAGAGCCTCACTCATGCTATACAAAAGTTCTACCACTGAGCTGTCTCCTCAGATAAAAGTTCCAACCCTTTTTGTTCACCAGATAAGTAATCATGAAAAAAAATTCTTCCCAAGCATGCTGGTGCATGCCTGTAATTCCAGCACTCAGGAAGCTGAGACAAGAGAATTGTTGCAAATTCAAGGCCAGCCTGGGCTATAAAATGATTTGAAGAACAGCCTGAACTGCATAGCGACACCCTGTCAAGACCAAAAAAAGTCTCATGTATTTCAGGCTGGCCTCCAACTCACAGCAATCCTCCTGCTTCAGCCTCTTGAGTACTGGAATTACAGGTGTACACCACCATACCCATTTACAAATTCTGTAAATGTGATTATTCATCAAAATTTTAAATTATATTCAGATTCTTTAATGAACATCCAAGTCCACAAATAGTAAAAATAAAAATATAATAAATAAACAAAAAGAGGCTGGGGATTTACCTCAGCGGCATAAGCGCCTGCCTTGCAAGCAGGCAGTCGTGAGTTCGATCCCTGGTACCAATAAAAAGGAAAAAGACAAAAATAAATAAATAAACAAAAATTTTGAGACACACCTTACAGTTTGACTAAATATATTTCAAAGTAAAAGTTTTCTTCTGTCCATTTGTCCTAATAAAGATAACAACATCACAAAGGAAAAGTTTACTGAATTTTACTATGTAAATATCTTTACCACACATACAATGTACTACTTAAAATACAAGAAAAAAAAACTGAGGGAAATATTGAACATAAATGGCATAGGGCTGGTAATTAAAGTATAAAGAACTTTCAGCTGGATGCGGTGGCGCATACCTGTAATCCCAGCACTTGGGAGGGTGAGGCAGGAGGATTGCTGCAAGGTGAGACCAAGCTAGGAGGTAAGCTGAAGGCCAGCCTAAACTGCATAGGGACTCTGTCTCAGAGAGACAAAAAAATAAGAATAGAAAATAAAATAAAATATAAAGAACTCATGCAAGTCAATAAAGATACTGAAAAAATATTTGATAGAAAAATAGGCATATTATAGGACAATCAGTTCAATGA